GATAACCAACACGTAGTCAACGACAGGGTAGTCTTCCTCCTCGAGCATGAACTCGTCGAGATCAGAGATAGCGCTAGATCCCTCTAGCCGGCCTCCGTAGGCACCGGATGCGGTATGTCTAGGCTAATCTCTGATGTCGAGATCTGGCGGTGTGTGTTGGCTTATGTATATGTTGTGTCTTGTTGGTCTTGTGGCTTGCTTTTTCTCCTCCTGGGGGGCTTGTATTTATACCCATAGGTGTCCCCTTGTCCAAGAAGAACTAGGGAGACCAATATGGATACAATCCAGGTAGTCCTTGTCATTTTCATATAGAACTCTATTTGTCCTTCCTTATCCGAATCTCCTTCTATATACGAGGTATGATTCCGTATAAGATATGGTATGTGGTGGGCCTTGTCGTGCTTAGTCAACTACTATTAGGTATGTGGTATCCATAACACTAACAGCCCCGCCCGTGTGTTGGTATTTCTTAACGACATTACTAGAAATATAATTCCCAGCAATGGCCCAGAAATACTCCTGGTATATTATGGTTACAGAGTTCATCCACAAGCGCATGGATATACCATTGTAGCATTTCACCCGAGAATATTCCAAGGGTATCGTATTTATTTTATCCCGTGGGAAGATAATGTAGAGAGAACTTGACTAATAATTTATATATTACTTGTGATAATCATATTCTAAGCAGGGGTTAAGATAATCCAAGGGTAGAGTGACACACAAGCATTAACTACTCATTCTCATAATAAATCATCTAAACACACAATGCCGCGTCGCCGCCCACGCGTCGTTATCGTCGTTGCCCACTCGTTGTCGTCACCGCCCACTCGTCGTTGCCGTCGGGGTCAGGCTCATTGTCGTCAGGGTCGGCGCCTCCTCGTCGTCGTCAGGGTCGGTGATGAGAACATCAACACCAACGATATATCCACGCCTCCACAAGTACAACTTCAACGTCCTATTACTCGCGCTCGTGCACGTCAACTCAACTATCAGGTGCATTCATTCTTAAATTCATATGATTCTTATTTATTCCCCGGAGACACGTGCACTCTTGTTTTATTCAGGAACAATGGAGAGAATCAAATGGGTGAGGATTCGCGCGGGGTGGATTCGGACTGCAGCACAGTCCCAACTTTTGACGGTCGCCATGACTTCATGCGAACTCTGATTTGGGCGTGCAAGTACTATCAAGTCTACCTTCAAATGGATCTAGCCTCTTGTCCATATCAGTTCTGGAGCAGCCGCAATCTTCATTTTTCTACCGAGTTCTTTTCTGTCCACGGTGTTGCGTCACCTCTTCGGGCCCAATGGGCCGTGTATCAAGTTGGGTCCATTAGGGATGCGTCCTAGGGTTAGAGAACGACCCCAGCATCCCTGTGGTTGTCCCCTTCCTCTTCTTATAGCTTTCTCCGCCACCAAGAATAATCGGGTTTTGTTTAGATCAAAGTACAGCGTCGCTACTTTGCCGAGTTGATCCCGTGGTCGATTAGATTGCCGGATTGCTTGTTACTGAACCCCACTTGTTACTTCTATTGATTCAATCAAACATCTTTGATTCGCAAATTTAGTTGCTTGTTCATCTTGTTCTTGCTGGTTCTCGATTGCTTACACCGCCTCTGGAGTTGGTGTAACGATTGCTAAGGCGCAACATCCCTGGATAGTTGTAGTCGGATCGCCAACGTCACTCCATCCAATCTACTTATCCCTCTCATCGAAATATCGGGACACCCTCAAGCACATCAGTCGGCGCCGCCGCGAAGGGGGCAGCCCGAGCGACGGGGACGACGCGGCAGCCGCTAGCCACCAGCACGCGCACGCCGCCCACTCGTGCTCGGTACCGAGAGAGGAAGAGAAAGAGAGGGAGAGGAGAGAAAGAGTGAGAGAGAGGAAGAGAAAGAGTGAGGAGAAGGGAAAAATATCAGGGGGGGAGAGAGAGAGGAGGATGAAAGATGAAATATTTTGAAGTGGTGAGGAGGGAAAATTTTCATTTGAAATTTCTAATCGATTTTTATGGCACTAAATCAACTCGTATGAAAAAGCTGTCAAAAACAAAGTTGTAGAACTCATTTAGGTGTCCTGTTTTTCTTTTGGTCATTTCTCTATCTGAGTTTTATTGAACTATAGAAAATTTTAATTTCACAGTCAATTTCACAAACTACAGGTATTTTGACCAAATTATCACAAAACTACAGATTTAAGGAGTTGTATCACAAAACTACACATTTAGCACCAAATTTATCACAAAACTACAGATTTTAGATTAAATATCGTAAAAATGCATATTTAATATTGAATTTATCACAAAACTAAAACTTTTGGAGTTTAAATCCCTAGCACCATTGTTATGATGGAGCTATAAACATCTTTACTTTTTATTAAATTGATTCTAAACCTGTAGTTTTGTGATAATTTAGTTACTAAATATGTAGTTTTGTGACACTTCATCTTAAATGTGTAGTTTTGTGATAAATTTGGTGTTAAATGTGTAGTTTTGTGATACACCGAGTTAAATATGTAGTTTTGTGATAATTTGGTCATAGTATCTGTAGTTCTGTGAAATTTACTTTTAATTTTAAAATATAAGAAATTCAAATAAATTTTCGGGTAGTAAATGATACAAATGAAAAAATTGTCAACAACAAAGTTGTAAAATGCATCAAGATCTACAACTTTTGTTTCGGTCATTTTTCTATATGACTTTTTTTCGACAGTTTGAATTTGAATTTCAAATTATGACAATTTCAAACAACATTTTCAAATACTAAATGATTTCAACTTAAAAAGTTATCAATAACAAAGTGTCATAACTTATCAAGATCTATAACTTTTATTTTGGTTATTTTTTCATCCGACAAAATGATTTGTAAGATTGTTCACAAAATGCACATATCTCTCTTATAAAGTTTTATAAACTATATAAGAGATATGCAAATTTTGTGAAAATGTTACTATCACTTTGTCTGATGAAGAAATGACCAAAAAATAAGTTATAGATCTTGATAAGTTATACAACTTTGTTGTTGATGACTTTTTCAGCTGAAATCATTACTGCTTCAAAATTTTGAAATTCAAAATTTTAATTGATAAAACAAAGTCACAAGAAAAAAGGCCAAAATAATGGCAGTATGAACATAATAACATGACAGAGCATGATTTTAGAAACTTTTAGGAAAAATAATCATCTAATTTAAAGTTCATATGAGTGAGATAAACTAGTTTTAAATTTTTCAAATTTTATTTTTGCATACGGCTCCTTAAGTGGTCCGTATGGAAAAATCGATTTTTCCATGCGGTCGCTTAAGTGAGCCGCAAGCGAAAATGATCTCATTTTTGCATACTGTCCTCTTAAGAGGCCTGTACGGGAAAATCGATTTTTCCATACAGGCCACTTAAGGGGCTGCATGCAAAAATGACCATCGATTTTTATAAACGCCACTAGTTATGGTCCGTTTGCAAAAAATCATGGGGTCTCGTAAGATAAATCACTTTTGTAGTAGTGCGCGCGCCGCTCCCTCCTGCCGGTCCTCGTGCACCGCCGCCGCTCTCCCGCCGGCCGCAGACCCCCGCGCACCTCCGCTCCTCTCTCGCTGGCTGCCCTTACGAGCTCGCTTCCTACCTTTGCAGCGCTCCTGTTGGTTGACCTTTCCGGCGGCACGGCATGCGCCGCTGTTCCTCTCCCTCCGACCCTCCGGGCCAGCGTGCGCCGCTGATCCTCTCCCGCCGGCCTCCGGGCCGCTCTCTCCCACCAGTCCCCACGCGGTGTCACTCCTCTCCTGCCCTTCCTCCGAACACCGACCCCGTGCACCGCCGCTCCTTTCCCTCCCTCCCGCCGGCTGGATAGCGCCGCCGCTCCTCCCACGTCAGCCGGCCCGACGATCTCGCCTCCTCCCTCGTGGCGTTCCCGTCTGCCCTCTCCGCTAGCGCGGCGCTCCCGACAGTGGCTGGATAACATATAGTTGTAGAAGCAAAAGAGGAAGAAAGAATGAAAAAGTAGGGAGGATGACATGTGGGGCCACATGGGCCCATCATTTTTATTACTTTTTTGTGTATAGCTGACGTGGGTCCCGTGGGTTTTATTATTTTTTCGGATCAAGTTACCATGTAAGCGCCACGTGGAACGAAGACCTAGTGGAGTGCCATGTAGGCAACACGTGAAACAATACTACGATAGGACCTTATTTGCGTGGTTTTATAAGTTTGGGGATGCGTTGTATCCAGTTTTGTGATGTAGGGATGAATTTCGAACTCGGTGACAAATTGAGGGACCTAATATGAACTTATTCCACAGCATGAGAACTGCATGAGGAGGAAGAAAAGAAAAACAACCAAAAGGAGTCAAAGTCTCAAACAAAAGGAAAAGAGTGTGTAATAAAAAGAGAAAATATTTTTTTAGAGACATAGCACAAACACATTATTGTCAGAAAACTTTCCGAAAGAAGGGTATTTAGAAAATTTTAAACATAGATTAATGAAACACATGATAAACAAAAAAAACCAAAAAGCAAACTACGGTGCAGACAAAAAAGTTTAAATAGTTAATTATTGAAATTAAACCATTTTTATTTAGGAATATCCATAAAGCTAGAATTATTTAATTAATTAAACATCTAACCATTTTTTTATCGTGGAGTAACCATCTATCAGACATTTTATTTCCTTAAATAATTTCTTGCGGTACAATCTTAAACCAAATTTCAGTCTCAGAAATTTTAAACACTACATATCTACCACATACAATCTCTAAAAGATTTTAAATATTAAGGAAAAATATGTCCCACCATAAAATCTACTCTCTCTCTCTCAGCAGTCGATTCGTAACAGAGGCAAACTTTCTAAGTTCTCGTTGGGAGGAAGGGAGCCCGACCGTATCCGAGTGGTTCTCTCCTCTCTCTCTCGATCTCTCTCTACGCACACAGACACGCCGCAAAAAACGCATGCAACACGCACGCCGCTATATATATAATTAACCATCACTGCGTCGCTGCGGCCGCCCACAGCCACCGAGCGGATTAGTGGAACAAACCCTAGCCTGAGTAGATTCTTCCTCTAGCTTTCGCGAGCCGTATCGTATCCATTGGATGGAGCCCTAGAGCAACAAGAAGAAGCCAAGAATATTTGCGCCATGGAGGGTGGTAATTCCAGCAAGGGCGCCATGGAGGGTGGTCACCGCTGCCGCCGCCCAAACGTCGACGACGATGACCAGATCGAGGAGGGAGAGATCTGCTACGACTGCCACGTCTCGGGCTCCGAGACCGACGACGACGAGCACCACAGACGCGCCGTGCTCCCTCCCCGCGACAATGGCGATGGCTGCGCGGAGCACAAACGGTGCCGCCTCGACAATGCTGCTACGGCGCCCGCACCCTCTGCCGGGCCGGTGCTGACCACCAGCAACGGAAGCGCCATCGTCGCCATCGCCTCCGCTGCCGCCGCCGCAGCAGCTGCGGCGTCGACAATGGCGCGGGAGGTGTTCGCGTGCCGCATCTGCCGGAAGGAGTTCGACACCCGGAAGGCCGTGGACGGGCACATGAGAGTTCACCGTCAGCAATCCATTGCCACCCCCAAGTATAATGCCGCAGACAACTCTCGTGTCACTGTGGTCGCTGAGCCCAGAACCGATCTTGATCTTTCCGGTCCACACGGGAGCAGCAGCGCGCCGCCGTCGCCACCAGCGCCGGCCAATCCTCCCAATCATAATCAGGCCGTCGGTCACCAACCAGCGGCTGCCGCGCCGAACGCCGGCGTCGTCGTCGTCGTCGAAGGGGCGCCGCAAAAAAGTCTACCATACATGTGCAAGATGCAGGGCTGCGGCAGGGCGTTCCCCACGCACCAGGGGCTAGGTGGCCACGCTGCCGGCCACCAGAACAGGAGCAAGGCAGCGGCGGCGGCGGCCTCCGAGCAGGGCAGCAGCGGAGCGGGGGCCGACGGGTGCCACGGCGGCGCCGACAGCAGCAAGCATCGGTGCAGAGAATGCGGCATGGAGTGGAAGACAGGTTTCGCGCTCGGCGGCCACATGAGGAAGCACCAAACTAAGGAGACGGTGACCGTGAACGAGAAGGAGCCGAATGTCGCTGGCAAGCACATCTCTCTTGGACCACCACCTTTGCCGGACCTTACTCCGGCCGCCGCTGAGGTAACTTCGTCGGAACCACTTGATCAGCCACCACTACTGTCAATGGTGGTGGGTGCAGAAGTTGCAGCACCGGCGCTGCTTGCGCTGGCCAACGAGGCAGCGGCATTGCCGCCACAGGATGATCAGGCAGAGGAAGAGGCGGCTGCAGAAGCCGCTGCACCGGCCGAGGCAGCGGCATTGCGACCGGTTGAGGCAGGGGCAGAGGCGGCCGATGTTGGAGCAGCACCAGAGGAGCCGCTGCTGGCGCCTATTGCCGGCATGGGAACCGTGCGTATTTTCGGTTTTTTGGTTGAGAAGCCGGCACCTGGAGACGGCAGTGGAGGAGAGGGTTCAGCGCCTGCATAGATCGTCCTAGTTATGATATTTGATTTTGTGATTTTCTTTAGCTATCTTCAGAGCCATTAGGATACTTGATTTAGAGGCTTTCTTTATTATGTTCACCGCATAGTAGTTAAGATAATTTTTGCTTTTCGATAGCAGAAGTGTTTTCTTCGTTGTACTAGCTAGTTGGCCGGGTTTTCGAGGTTAAAGACTATAAGAAACTTACAGTTATATATGGTGTGCAATGTGGTCTCAGGTGTTCGGTTGACGACTGGCAACTGGCAAGGCTGTTTTGTTTGGGGTAATCCTGATCCTGAAGGAAAACATGAAAAGACCATGGGAAGTGAGGGGTACTACTATGTCCCGGACATCTGACACGAGGCATATCATCAGACAAACTGTGGATCATCCACTGCATTTGGGCTTTTCATTTGCTCTCTCTTTGTTACTTACGAATATATACCTCTCACATTTTCTTTTAGCTGAAGCTCTATGTATGCATCATCTATCCCTCTCACATTTACATCTTTTAGCTCAAGCTCTATTTATACATGTGGATGCGTGCATGTCCTCCATTTACAAAATTTAAATAATTTTTCGGATGAACTGTTTATCCAATCAATAATTTGATTACACCACCATATTCATTTCAAGTAAATCTTTATTAAAAAGATACGTCCTCTGTTCATATTATAAGACTTTCTAGCATTGCCCATATTCATATATATGTTAATGAATCTAGATATATATGTGTGCTTAAATTCATTAACAACTATATGAATGTGGGCAATGCTAGAAAGTCTTATAACTTGAAACGGAGGTAGTATTATATAAGTGTATTCTCATACAAATAATGTATATATAAAGTTTTAAACGATTTGTCCTATAAATGGGTATTGTTTCATCACTTTTTGAAATTTGTTTCATCATTTGGACAAAAGTTTTAACTTTAAATTTCAACCAATTTGTCCTAAAAAAATCAAGCATTTGTTTCATCCCTTGGATAAATATTTCAATTCACTCAATAAAATGTTTCAAAACAATATAACATTAAAACAAATACTACCTACAACACTGGCAACCACTACATAAAACATTCAGTCCCAATGAATAAACATAAAAAATAACTATATAAATGTACAATACATTTGCAAATAATTGATTTTACTGAAACATTTACAAGTGAACTAGTAAAACATCATGAAATAGTTATCGAGTCATGTAAATATTAAATGTTTCAGCTTACCACCCGTGAAACTTCTATATATATATTGTGAAACACAGTAAAAAACTGAGAAAATTTTCCCCTTCACGCAGGAAACTTCAAATTTTAAATTTGAGACATACGCATTTCTTTCATCGAAATATAATCATGTCAGATCCTGTTATTAGATTTAAATTAAAATAAATAAAGTGGTATAATTTAATTGTAAATTGGATAAATAGTTTAGCAACAAAAAATCATTTCAAGCTATTGGGGCCATGCCCTTTTTCTTTCATTTCCTTTTCATACATCGGATGTCCGACAATGGGCTGCAATTGAACGCACGATGGGAAGCATTTCGAGGGAACAGTCTGGTTGCTGGGATCTGAGCCTTGATGGTCTGCTGCTTGCAGTTGGGCCTACACAATTTGTTTCAATATAATAATTAATAATAACAAAATTAAATAACTACTCAATGCAAACCAACTAATAGTAGAATAGTCCCTCTATTTTTTTTTAATGTATCGCATCATGGACTTTTTCATTCAACTCTGACTAACATTTCAACCATACTTAGTTAAGTAAAATGGAAGAATACCGAGATATTTGTCATAAAACATGCATTAAGTGTCTTGTATGTTTGTACATGATAATTTTTCCGATAACTACGAATAGTTAAGCAAACCTCGTCGTATCAAACTAGAGAAACCTAGGAGCTACCACTTACAAATCTAAACACTGATGTAATGTGATCTTGATGAAGTTGTAATCCTATATATCTATAAAGTTCATCCCCACTAAGTATAGTTAATGCTAATTCTCTCTTCTCTCATGAAGCTACAACACCTCAATTGTTTTTAACCTTTGGATGATTCATCAAGGGTGTAAATTGTATCTCTTCACATCACCTCAATTGTTTGTAAGCTCTTGGATGATTCATAAAGGATATAAATTACATCTCTTCCCTCCAAAGGACACACCAAGCAACCCAATCATTTATAACCTACGGATAATTGATAAAGGTAAAAAAAATATAAACACATGAAAAAAATCGTATAGTAGGTAAGAAAGAAAATTTTAGAAGTAATATCTAGTATATTATCACATAATTCTCCCGCAGCAACGCGCGGAGTACCCATCTAGTACTAATTAACATGGAATGCCTAATGTATGATGGGAATTCTTGCACAAATAAAATACATTCACAACTATTAGTATGTTAAAACAAATAAGTTATTAATTAACTCCTTGTGCCCAAGAAAATATTTGTATGTAGTTGCTTGAACAAAGGCACAGTCTCAAGCTTAGCAATAAAAACCTAAATGATTTTCAACATACCTAGAGGAGTTACAACTCAAACGGGTTGGTTAGCCCTATCGACAAATAAATTTCCTGACACCAGTTGTAACTAGTAGAATTTTCTTACGACTTCTTACTGCAAAACCATCAATTATAAAACGTGAAAACCTATTAAAACATGTTATGGCCTCTTGATCCCTGAAATAATACCTCCTCGTTACGTGAATTGAGTGGATAATTCACAAGAATTTTGCTAGCTTATCTCCTTAATACGCTTCAAACCAACCAAAATTTGATCTCGTGATATAAACATACGTTAAAGAATAAAATTCTCAACATTGATGTAATGAGAAGTGCATGCTTCATCTTTTGAGCCAATTATTTCCTTGTCATTCCATTGAGATTTTCTTTCTGGGACAAATATATTTTGTATAATAGAAATTGGCTAAAATTTAAATAATGGATTTGCAAGAAATAAGGAACATGTGGCATACCAAAGTTTTATAAATAAAAGTAATGAAATAATGGAGCAAATAAGTTAAACATCATTTCTTGGTGTACATAATGTATTTCTAATATTGTCACAGTCCTAAATTTCTAAGCTCGGCAAGACCCGCCATATGGCAAAAATCATGTGATGAGGAACTAGGGTCTCATTCTTCCTATAGGTGTTAAATCGATTATGGAGACTCAACGTTGATGATCCAAAGGCTTTGATCAAGACGATTGAACCCCTCGCATTCACTACACCACTCCTCCCTTGGTTATCAATCGAGCCGAAACATGATTGACCTGCCCGATAAGGCTATATCCTACAAGAGAATCGAGAACACAAGCAAGTGAGTAGAAGATGCAATCTGAAAATATTGCAAATATAAGATGAATCTGACAAGTTGGGGTTCCACAGATCGAACTAGCAGCGTTATTACACTTTTCTGAAAGTATTTTTTTAGGCGGCGTGTGCTCCTAGGAAAATATTTAACGGAGACATCTTAGCAGCCGGGCGGCCCGCCTGCGAAAAAAGCCAAAACGTATCTTCACAGGCAGACCCCCGCCTGCGAAGATCCGCACCCTATATAAGGGCAGCCACCCCCGTGCCAAATTTTCTAAGTCCAGGCAGGAACCCTAGAAAATTTGGCACCGTTAGGCTGCCGAAATTTTCCACCGCCGACCACCTGCAATAGCTCGGCCGCCGTCCTCCGCCACCTCCTCCTCTCCTGGCCGTGCCACTCCTCCGCCGACTGGCCACGACGCTGCTTTTCTCGCGTCCTCCGCCACCTCCTCCTCTTCTTCGGGCCAGCACCGTCTCCTACCAGCCGGCCGCTGCCACCTCCTCTTCCCGGCCCGGCGCTGCCTAGCTCCTACCGTCCGACCGCCGCCACTACCTCCTCCGTGGCTGGCGCCGCCTCCTCCAGGCCGACCGCTGCCACCTCCTCCTCCCTGGATGACGCCGCCTCCTCCCGGCCGATCGCCGCCACCTCCTACTCCCGCGCCAGCCCTGCTTCTTCTTGGGCTGGCGCCGCTACCTCCTCCTCCTGGCAGACCGCCGGCACCCTCATCCTCCCGGGCCGGCAAAGCCTCCTCTCGGGCCGGCGCCACCTCCTCCTGGCCGACCGCCGCCACATTCTCCCTGGCCGCTGCTGAAGACTCTATTCGACTGACATTCGGCCGATCGTCGTCCCCGACTTTACGTCCACGACCGAACGTCGCCTCGGCCGCAGCTCGTCCTCGTCATCGTCAACCGAATGAACTCATGCATGTGTGTGAGGGGTTTGAATGGTATATATATGTGTGATGGCTTTGGATGACATGTGGGGCCGGTTTGGGTTTTTTTTGGGATGATATGTGGCTATGTGCTATGTGGTGATATATGTGTTTTATGTGTTATATGAAATGTTGAATGTGGGTGATATGTGTTGAAATTTTTTTGATAGGGCATGTGGGTGTTATATGTTCAACTTCTTTTCAGATGACATGTGGGTGAGATATGTTCAATTTTTTTATATGACATTTGGGAGATATGTTCATTTTTTTTACGTGACATGTGGGTGATATAAGTTCAATTTTTTTTATATGATATGTGGAATTTTTTTACATGACATGTGGGTGATATCAGTTCAAATTTTTTCATATGATATGTGGGTGATACAAGTTCAATTTTTTTATATGATATGTGGGTGATATAAGTTCAAATTTTTGGTAGATGATATGTGGGTGATATAAGTTCAATTTTTTTGTAGATGATATGTAGGTGATATAAGTTCAAATTTTTTGTAGATGACATTTGGGTGATATATGTTCAATTTTTTAATGACATTTGGGAGATATGTTCAATTCTTTTTTAATATGACAGGTGGGTAATATATGTTAGATATTAATTATCGTTCTCATTCTTATGTTTATAGTACTAAACGATGGCTAATAGTCCTAAAGGAGATGAAGATAAGGATGTAGGGGCCATCGTGGAGTACTCACAGCTGATAGTCGAGCCTTCACAACCTACCGTGGAGCCGTCATAGCCTATCGTGGAGCCGTCACAAGCAATTGTGGTTGCTTCGCAACCTACCGTGCCGCCAGCCGATGGGTCCGACAGTGATGAAGCTGACGAGGGAGATTCATATTTGTCCAAGCCCGAAATGGCGGACGAAAGATGATGGTGAAGAAGACGACGAAGACTACGTCCTTCGCAAGAAAGTGGTAGGTTTCTATAATGTCATTTGAGTTGCAACTGTAC